TTTTTTTTTTTTTTTTTTTTTGTATTCTCTGAACTTTGCTTTTACAATGTGCCCTTGTCATTTGATTTTTTTGGACTCGTATTCTCCTCATGTTTACTCGAATCATAAGAACTTTTACTGATGCAGGAGGATGGCATTAATCTACTGACTATCATTAAAGGCACTTCTACTTACCGTCGTTCGAGGAAACACGATTACATCATGGATTTTGTACCTCCCAGCAAATCGGAGTTCAAGCTGGCGATCGAGGGAACTGGGTAAATTTTAATATAACCCTTTCTGTTTTACTTTCAAGTTAAACCTTAATTACAGTTTTTCCATCAAGTGTTTGCAGTGTAGACCTTTAAGCCCAGAGAAAAAAAGTTGATATTATCAAATTTATACCAAATTCCTGATTTAGTTTATTTTTTTGATGGCTTAAAATCCAAAATGATAGATCGTTTGTGAATTACGTGGGCCCGGTGCTTCTGTCCACTACTGAAGATGGGAAGATAGTTCGGGGCCTATCTGGGGTACCTGATGAAGGCCCGGTTCTTTTGGTTGGCAATCACATGCTTATGGGCGCGGAGCTCATTCCACTAGTCGAGGAGTTTCTTCAGGAAAAAAAGATCGTTGTCCGTGGCATGGCCCACCCGACATTGTTCTCGCCTCTTGTTGAAAATGAAAATAAAGAGTTCTCGTTTTCCGATTACATGAGACTGTACGGTGCATTGCCAGTCACTTCAAATAATCTTTTCAAGCTGTTGAACATGAATTCTCACGTGCTGCTTTATCCTGGTGGCGCTCGTGAGGCTCTGCACTGCAAGGTTTGCCAACTTTATTGTTCCTTTCCAATAATTAGGATGACATTTCTTTAATTATGATGTTTTTAATTACTTAATTAGACTTTTAAATTGATTCTCAGGGTGAGGAGTACCAACTGTTTTGGCCTGACCAGCCGGAATTCGTGAGGATGGCTGCAAGATTTGGAGCGACAATTGTGCCGTTTGGAGTTGTTGGAGAGGATGACCTAGCAGAGGTACTGTTAAATATTTCTATTTATAATACTGCACAAATTTATTTTTCATGCATCATGAATGTGCTTTAGGGAGGATTAATTTGCAGTCCCCCATGAAAAAGATATTGAAGAAAAGAATGGCAAAAATGGAAAAAGAAAAGGCAATTAAGTGATATTCCTCATTCTTATTTCAAAATTTGGCAGCTAGCTTTGGATTACGATGATCTGATAAAAATCCCGGTTTGGGGTGACCGTATAAGAGAGGAGAACGAGAGGTATGAGTCGTTGAAGTTCAACGTCAGGTAAAAGCCATAAGCCAAACGTTAGCTTCAAAACTTGCGCTCTTCTTTCCAACCATTTTGAGAATGAAGATGCTATTGGTGTGCCTCTCGTGTGTTTTTGTAGGTCCGGGATGAGTGGTGAGGTCGCAAACCAATCTTTGTATCTTCCCGTGCTTTTGCCCAAATTCCCAGGCCGATTGTACTACCTATTCGGAAAGCCGATTCACACTATGGGACGAACAGAGTTGTTGAAGGATAGAGAAAAGGCAATGGAACTCTACTTGCAAACAAAGTCGGATGTCGAAAAGATCATATCGTATTTGCTTGAAAAGCGAAATGAGGACCCTTACAGAGGAGTTATCGATAGGACAATATACCGTGCGCTCTACACTCCATTTGA